GCGTCGCCTCCACTCCTCCAAAGCCTCCTGCAGATTCGAGTCAAAGGATGAGATAGCAATCAAAACTTTCTGCTTTATATCGTGAAAATTAGTTATATCAGGATTCTTATGAGTTTAAGTATATTCAACACGTAGACTAGTGAACCAACCTGAAGATGGGCTCACGGAGTCGACTGAAAAACTGTAGGTGACACTAATTGAATTTGAGTATCCGTAGAGAACATCTCTCACAACGATATCGTAAGTGCCTGAAGCCAGTTCTGGACTCTGCAACAGAAAATTTATTTGTATTAGATTAGAGTGCGCACGCGCGCGCGTTTCATTATGACGAGAACAAAGACAACAATGATATATCATTATGATTTTAATAGGGTTTCTAGAAGCTGCCTTTCCACGTAAACGACACACAAGGAGAGCCCACCTTGCAAGTAACGGTAGTGGAGGTGGCAACGACTTCTGTGCAGGCCACCCCGCCCACTGTGACCTCTGGGTCATCGGTGGCCAGTTTCAGGTTTGTTCCAGACAAGGAAATGCTTGCATTGCAGCAAGCAATCGGTGATACCCTGTAAAAGGAAATGTCCTTTGCAATAAAATAAAACCGAGGATGATAATGATGATAATAATAATAATGATGATAATAATAATGGCAATGATGGAAATAATAATGATACTAATAATGATAATAATAGTAATGATAATAATAATAACTATAATAATGAGAACGATAATTATAGAAATGTATTTCGATAGGAAGTGCGCCATGAAACTCACGGGTCACTGGAGAGGACAGGGGTCTTAGCGGAGTCGTAGGTGAAGTCAGTTGGCGAGTTGGTTGTAACTCCTCCAGACGTTACTGCCACCGACGCAACGCCAGCTGCGTGGACTGGGGTGAGGCATGTGATGGTGTCAATGGCTTCTGACAGGATTTGGCACTCGAGGCCGTCCACGGTTACATTCAGATTTCCTAGAGTGAAACTAGCGCCGGAAATGGTAAGAAGGGCGCCGCCATTGACGCTGCCCTCCGTCGGCGATATTGTGGACACAATGGGGGCCGTGGTGACGGCTCCTACGCCAGAGTCGACGGAAGCATCGCCGAGGCCATCCACAGACAGTGAAATATCATAGCTGCCAGCTGGGAGACTGGCCGTATTGCAGACAATTGTGGTGTCCGTGACTGAAGTTGGCGAGCACTCGTATGAGGTCTGAGAAGCCTCTCGTTTCTCTCGCACATCCAACGCCACGGGCGCCTCTACCTTTGCAACGCGCTTGCTGCCTCCTATCCTCCACGCTCCGAGGGCCTTCGATTCCTCGAAGTTTCTCGCGTTCGTTTTCGTAAATGTGCCCCAGAAATGGCTGTCCGATCCCATGTCGTCGAAGAGACCAGTATGGACGACCGGCTTGTAACTATCGCGAACAACGCCTTCCATATCCTGGTCAACCTCATCGCTCCTTTCGTCGGCGACCAAGAAGTGGCCGCGAACAGGAGCTGGGTCTTCGGGCATCTCGTCGGGAATGCTTCTCTTGCGCCGACTCGAGGTGACGGTGAGCGTGACGGTGACTGCGGCGAAGTTGGTGCCGAAGGCCGAGCCGGTAATGGTCAGCGATGAACCGGACTGGGATACAGAGGTCACAGATGGTGTTGCTGCTGTCGAGTAAGTGAAAACGGAGCTCGCCAGGTTGCTGACTGCGTCGATCTGAAAGTAGAAGTTCCCATTTGAGATTGAAAAAGCAAAGATTGCGATTTGGATTACTATTGAAATGTAATTCCCAAAAGAGAAGTGTGTGTGTGTGTTGTGTGTGGTGTGTGTGTGTGTGTGTGTGTGCATGCAGATATATATGTAAGTATGTATGTATATGCATATATAATGAATGTAAATTCCGCATTAGCCAATGAACAAGAGCACTAACATTATAGGCGGAGATCCTAACGACCATATTGACAGCTCCCGCAGGCGCCGCCGTAGTGATGCAGATGATGTCGGTGGGCGTGACTTCACTCACGACGCAGGGATACGAACCCATGAGCACTGTGGCCTGGCCGTCAAAGGCTTCGAGGCCCGTTCCTGAGACAAGGACGTTTGATGTGCTAAGTCAGGTGTTTTTTTTCCACGAGTTAAAAGGTAATGCCTTTTTTACGTAAATAATGTTCGTGCAGTAAAAGGGGATCAATTTGTAAATTGTGAAACACAAATGAGGAATAGTTTGGTAATGGTGATAATTGCTGGTAAAATATGATTACACAAATAGGGAAGATACATTGGAAATGGTGCGATATTCTTTGGAACAAATTATTTCATATTGATTTCAATGAACAAGAGGAAATGATAGAAAGAGAGAGGGAGGACGGGGGGAGGGGAATACATAGATAGATCAAGAGATTTTTACGTGGAGAGAGAGAGAGAGAGAGGGAGGAGAGAGAGAGAGAGAGAGAGAGAGAGAGAGAGAGAGAGAGAGAGAGAGAGAGAGAGAGAGAGAGAGAGAGAGAGAGAGAGAGAGAGAG